TTTGGGGGGCGGGGGGAGGGAATCAGAATTCTCTGATTAGGCCAATTAAAAGCCTGCAGCTTCTTTTCAAATACATTATTCAATTTGGTGATCTTTGGATATCAGCTGCTAGAGAGAGAGTTTGGTTCACAAGAAATAAAAAACACATTGTGCTAAAACTGTAGGACCGCTTGTTGAGACCTGGGCTGCAATTTTTCATTAAACCCAATAGGACCTCTGATCATGGTAAATGTACTGTTCTTTTCTTTTTTTGTTGTTTTAAATGACAAATCTACTTTTATATAGTACTTTCCCTTATGAGTAGCAGAGAGAAAAAAAACACAAAAGAGAGGAGTCAAATTTTGGGTCAATGAAGGTTTATAGTTTTCCTATCACACAAGAATACCTGCTGTGAATTCTAAAAGTAAATAATAGACATGCTGAAAAAAATATTTTATTTTATGAAAGATTCTGTACTAAAGCCTTTCATAAAAAATAGTGTGCAGAATCCACTAAACATCTTGTTTCATTTTTCATTCTGAAATCACTGTTTGCTTGGTCTAAATTCACAGTTCCATTAATAAAAGTAAACACGGGCCGGCCCGGTGGCGCACTGGAGAGTGCACCGCTTGGGAGCGCGGCGGCGCTCCCGTGGAGGGTTCGGATCCCATGTGGAGACCAGTTCCCGCTCACTGGCTGAGCGCAGTACAGGCACGACACCGAGGGTTGCGATCCTGATACCAGTCAGTAAAAAAGACAAAAAAAGGAAAAAATAAATTAATTAATTTAAAAATAAATAAATAAATAAATAAAAGTAAACACACAAAAAACAATACTCTAAAGCTGGCCGGTTAGCTCAGTTGGTTAGAGCATAGTGGTGGTAACACCAAGGCTTGATCCCTGTACTGGCCAGCAAAAATAAACAAACAAACAATATATCTGTTTTTTTAAAAAATCTCAGTTTACCTACAGGAAAATCATTGGTAAATTAAAATGTGATTTAGGGTTGAATTCAAACAATTTAAAGGGAGATAAAGTAAAAAGTCAAAGTCTCCCCCTTTGTGTCTCCTAAGATGTTACTACTCTTAACATACTTCCTTATTAAAAAGGAGGAATCATATCACATCTACAGCCTTCAATGGCAGGAAGGCAAGAAAAGATTATTTTTAAAAGCCTTTACAACTTCTTTATAATAACACACACATTTTCTCTTTTCATGGAAAGCTTATTAGAAAACATGCAAAAAAAAATGAGAAAATAGAAGGGAAGGGGTAAATCGGACTGTAATTTCAATATCTGAAGTCAAAGTTTATTTTAGGAGACAATTTTAAAATGTCTCATTTTTAACCTTATTTTGAAAAATCTTTATTTGATAAAAGGTTATAGACAAACATCAAGAAGTAACTGTCTTTTGAAGGTCAATCAATCATCTGCTTTTGGTAAAAACTAAAATGTTACAAAACTTTTGACAGTGAAAAGTACAGAGAACTCAAAGAGAAATCACAGCCAGCAATCTAGACAAAACATGACATTAAAAGAAAGAACAAGGCACAAAGCTGGTTTTTCTTCTCACAGACAAAACGACTAGGAATTGCACAGCTCGTCCTACATGTAAGCAGAAAGAGTGCAAAGGCATCCCTATCAGCAGCAGCTGCTGCAAAAAGACCATGCACATTTATCCAGTAACTGGAATGCATGAAGCATTTGTACAGACTTTCCATGAAGAATCTTGACTAATATGACACGGTTCTCAGCAGACAGGAAATCTGAGGCTTGTCTAACTGATGCACAGAAATCATCAAAGGTAGCTCTGGAAAGAAAACACAGACTCCTGCTCCAAACTAAGAATTCAATTCAAGAATCCAGAGATTCCTTCTGCATCCCCCACCCCCACCCCCCAAGGGTTGTTGGGCTGGCCAGTTAGCTCAGTTGGTCAGAGTGCAGTGTTGTAACACCAAGGTCAAGGGTTCGGATCCCTGTATCGACCAGCCACCAAAAAAATAAAAATAAAAATAAAATTTTGATTGGCTGGCTGGTTAGCTCATCTGGGAGAGCACGGTACTGGTAATACCAAGCTCAAGGATTTGGATCCCTATACCAGCCAGCCTCCAGGGGGAAAAAAAGGCTGTGTGTGTATGCACACCCACCCACTTTTCTACAAGAGGGAACACTTCCATCATCCTTAGCATACACCAGGAACAAAACATACAAAAATCTTGGCCCTCATGAAGCTGATACTTTAGTAGGAACAGGTAGAAAATAAATAAGATAAATAAATATATAATGTGTTAGAAGTTGATAAGTGCAATGGAGAAAAAGAAAGCAAGGAAGGGGGACAGGGAATGCTGAGAAGAGGTAACTGTACATTTTTTATAAGGTGGACAGGTGATAACCGAGTAAGGACCTGAAGGAAGGAAAGGCACAATTCTAAGAAGACCACAAAAGCAGATTTAAGACAGTTTAATTCTAGGCTAAAAAATTAACTCCATGACATAAACAAGAAATTCAAAACTAAGTTAACCCCAAAATGCCTCTGGCTCTAACCCTGAACTAATCCAAAGGACAGCAGCTGAAAAAGACAACTAAACAGAAAAATCTCATACATGATGAGTAGAGCAATAGGGACCACTCAGGAATCTCCTTTGCTTAAATAGCTAACAGAGCTTCCAATATACCAACTAGGGAGCTCACTGGTACCCTGGCATACATATCAAAGGCCCACATGTTAATGAGTTGCCTTACTCTTCATTTGACCTTCCAGAGGTATATGAGAGTCTTTCAAGGACTCTAATCCTTTTGTCACTTCTCTGCTGTAATTAGGCACCTCATATTAGCAGCCTGACCAAATTTTTGGACAGAACATTCCAGCCAATGGGGAGGGGGGAGGGAGGAGGGGACGCCAAGTTGCCAGGCCCCATAAGCATGATAGAGAATACGGAAAGTAGACAGCTGATTCATAAAAAATGAAGGCGGCAAGTACCAGGACTCCAGGCCCCAAGCAAATGGGTCAGAAACGATTTCTGAGGATTTGGACCAAATTAAAGGAAAGCAGCAGAGTACAATACTCATTCTGGTTGGCTTGGGTCGGCAGGGCAAGTGTACTCAGAGTCAATAAAGCACAAATGAACACCCAGAGAAGAGTGAGACTGAAAAAGAGGGGTACTGCAACATAAAAAGAGCTATCAGAACCAAAGGCAAGGGAAGAATGGGAACTAGAGTTCAGAAAGGCAGGCTGGGGACAATGCACAAGGATTGGTATAAACTCAGGGCCTCAGGCTGCCATACAAGTAAATGGGATTGTGACTCCAAGGAGAGTCACTGCCTGCCACCCAGCCTAATTTAAGGACCTTGCCAGGGAAGGTATAAGAGCTTCCAGGCACATCTCTCTCCACCATGAGATGGAACTATGCTGGGGTTTGTGACCCAGAATCACAGCTAGGACCCAGGGGTACATTTTGTCATATTTGCCCTTTCTCTTATTATCTACTTGTATTCTTCTAGTAGCTACTAATACGGTCTCTCTAGATATAAATGCACACAGTCACATATACACACACAAACACACCCCAAACTTTAATCCTAAAGTGTTCCTAATTCAGGAATAACTTACTTTATAAAAATTACCTCCATTCCTTCCTAATAAGAGCCCAGTCAGGAATTGACTTGATTCTACCTAGTTAAGGAGCTGTTTCTCCCCCTAATAAATGTTTACCAATGGTGATATTACACAGCACCTGCTAGAGAGCAGGCCTCAAGTTGCAGATAAGCCTTTCTGATATGACAGACCATCAGAGGAAACAAGATGACTGGAAGCTCTAAATTACAAAGAAGAATATCTAGTACTCCTTAGAAAAGAAATCAGTATCTAACCTGACCACCTTCTTACATTTCTTCTCCCTAAAAATTTGGAGAGAATCTTTAAATCCTATGTTTTTCAAAATCATTTTTGCCAGATAAGAGGATAAACACAGCTTTCAATCATCATAATCCCAGTTCTTGATGTGTATAATTTTCAGAATTTGGTTGGTGCCAGACACAAAGTTGACCTACTAAAATGCCACAGCAATGACAAACTGGCAATCTGATCCAATACTAGCAAGACCAGATACTCAAAGTGTTTCATAAGCTAATAATTTTTTACACCACTTATATCCACAAAGTAGAATCAATGTTATATAAAAATGCTGGTTAAAAAAATGTTTCTATAAGAACTACATCCATCTTATGCTCTATAGGAAAACAGTTAAACTGTCAACATGTTTTAGAGATTCCCTCTAATTGTGCCCTCTTTTGAATTCTGATAAAAACTGGTCAATTGTTAACTTTGAAGCAAGGTCAATTAAAGAAAGAAGTTCATTTACAAAAACAAATCAATACACCTTCAGATACTAGGATAGGCCAAGAGATAGTCACTACTTTATCAGCCATTTCTGGTGGAAGCAGCAATGACTTCATTATTCTGTAAAAATGTTTATTAAGTAAACATTTTCCTTTTAATTCTGTTAAATTTATAAATGCAACAGTGATTAAGCATTCATTCCATCATGAACTGTAATTTGTTAATTTGGGAGAAATTTGGCTTTATGAGAGATTTTATAAGTTTTCCATCACAGATACTGAGGAATGTGTTTTACCTTTTGGTTTTGCCACCATGAAATTCAGAATCGAATCTACGGTCCCACTGTAATAACCATATGAGAACTTGTATTTTCCACATGTGTTTTAGTTTACCCACAATTTCAATATACTAATAAATTTATTTTTTTGCTGATTATGATTTTTATCTTTTAATTTATGACATCGTTTTATTTCACTTTTTTCCAGTTAGGTTCAGATTTTTGTGGAACAAGCAAGATATAAACAAAATACAGTACACCTACATATTTTTAAAAAGATCTGACTATAGTTACGTCACCCTGATTTACTTTTCCTATCATTCTATACTAACTAACAGAATAAAACTGTTCAAGAACTAATAAAGATCTCATTAAAATATGTACAGGTCCCATTCAAATACTTACCAGGAGCAATGGTCTCCAATGTATCAGAACTGACCTTCCGAGTACTTGTACAGTGATGGAGGGTAGAACCTGAAAATACCAAGTAAAAAACTACATCATCTTCAACTTTGTCCTCTTCAGCCAGCAGGACTGTGACAACACAATCGCCCTACAAAAGAAAAAGATATAGCAAGTTTGCGTTAGTAAGATTCCTCTTGGGAGTCTATCTTTATAAAACATCATATTTAAGGGAAAATCAAATGTATCATACAAACTGTGCACCAGTTCTGGTAGGTTTATACAAATATGACCCATGACTGAGCACTTACGTGCCAGACAATGTTCTAGGCATTGAGAATAATGAACCTGAAAATAAGATCTCAGTTCACTTTAAGATTACATTTCAGTGGAGGTGATTAGACAAACCACAAGGTAACAGTTTGTGTATTTACTTGATGAATGGATTTTTTTTTTAAAAGGGAGAAATTCAAGAAAATCTAAAAATAAAGCAGAGAAGATGGAGGGGGTATATTAGTTATATCCTCACACTCAGAATGCTCCCTAACTCCTGTGTTCCACTTGCAAGCAACAATTTTCTAAATTCTATATTCCATAAAATCATCACCAAGTCCACTTATTTATTTTCCAGCAAAGTTGGAGAGCCTCTAATAGAGTTGCCTGGAAATGGCAGGGTGCAAAGAGCATGAGCCTAGGCTCCAGCCAAATCTGGATTTCAATCCCACCTACAAAGACTTTACTTAGATCCACTAAACTTCAGTTTCCTTGACTATATAAATGGAGATCATACCTTCTCTCATAGCTAATATATGAAAATTCTAGGGACACATTCAGCTATCAGTCCATGGTAATACTCTTCATACAATGGGAGGTGGCTTTTCTAACAATTTGTGTTTTCACACCATCTGGCATCCCTGCTCTTCTTTATCTACCCCTCCCCATTAAGCCCTAGGAATCAGACAAAAATCTTATGCCAATAACTTCTTCCATGACTTTGCAACTATTCAGGAGGTAAGATCTCTGTCCCTTAGTTGCAAAAATTCTTCTAACGCAGTTTTTATACATTGATTTTTTTCAATTGAGGCCAGTGGTTAAATATATTCTATGAAATACAGTCCTAATGGCCATTCTCCCAGTTATAAAAATTATATAACTCATGTTGTAACCATAAACTAACAAAAGATTTTAAAGCATCAAGATTTAAAGCACTGAGATTTTAATATTATCTAAATCTTAATACACTATGAAAAAAACAATTAAGAGAACGCCAGGCCACTTCAGCATTAAAATTAGGGAAGAGAATTCTCATTACTTACAGCATTTTTTCCTTTTCCATTTTAGCAATAATAAAGCCCATAAGAGAACCATGCCACTCTGTGGCCACAACTAGCAGAGGACAGTTTTTTTTTTAACTAAATACTGAAAACCAAAAATCATAAAGTCAAACCTAGGACCAAGTCTATTAACAGATATACTCTAGTAGATTGATTCTGTTCAGAGAGTATTTCCCAAAGCCCTGAATGTCTATTTCTTATTTTATCCCAGTGCCTTGTGCAGCATCCTATGCACGGTAGGTGCTCAAATCCACTGAATGCAACATATAAGTCAGAATGAACTACAATCTCAAATAAGCTGTAACTTACTTTGTCAAAAATTCAGTTATAAATATGACTACTGACCTGAGGAGTTCCAAAGCACTGTAACACAAGGAATATCAGTCAGTCCAGAATTATTACTGACTTTAGGCACTACTTGATATTATAGTTTCATCTTGTGTATAAGTCCCTGTCTTGGAAACATTTTTTAAAAGCTTAGGCTAGTAAAATGTTTAACATCCTTTGCCATGATGCAACCAGTTAAAGTGTCTGCAGTACATACAAGAAGACGCAATTACTCAAGGTACTGAAAAATACCATTATAACCTGAAAGAAGTGCAAATGAAAGTCCAGAAGTTTCATCCTTTATAGCACAAGTGGGGAAACTATGGCCCAGGGGCCTAATCCAGCCCCCTACCCCCTTGTTTCTGTATGGCTCACAAGCTGAGAAAGATTTTCACGTTTTTAAATGGTCAGGTGGGGAAAAAAAGATATTTTAACATGAAAACTACATAAAATTAAAATTTTAGTGCCCATAAATAAAGTTTTATCAAAATCCAGCCACGCCCATTCCTTTACGTATTGTCTGTGGCTACTTTTGTACCACAATAGGCCATCGCAGTTGAATGGTTAAGACAGACCATATGTGGCCCACAGCCTAAATTATTTACTATTTAGACCTTAACAGAAAAAAAATTTTTTTGCACTTTGATTTCTAACCTGGAATTCTAAAAATACATCTTTCTTTTCAAGATCAAGGATTTCCTCTCCACATGACATCCAACATCTTGCTGGGAGATTCTCCATGCCTCAAGATACTAGCAATATCTGGGACTTTCCTTTTACTGCGTACAGAAGAGATGGCTAACACAGGCAGCTGAAATCCTTTTAACAAAGCTTTCAAGATCAACCTCTTGTTTTCATTCCTAAGACAATACCAAATGAGTTTTAAATTGCTTTCAAACCTTTAACAGTTCTTTTAAAACGTTAAGTCACACTACCTTATGCCCAAAATATTAAATAGAGGGGAAGGAAAAACCTCATTCACTTCAAAACTCCTTGAAATTTAGATTCCAAAGGGACCTGGAATTAAAGTACTCACCTTCCCTGAAGAAGTGTTCTCTGCACTCTCATAAAGTCACTGAAAGCAAATAAACTGCATTTCAACCATGTGACTCCTATTTTACTATAGTAGTACCAAGCACCTAGTATTACTTGAGATGGCCTTGAAAGATTAAGTGGAATGGTGATGAAAAAAATGAAAATGAAAAACAGACGTAAGTAAGAATTTTTGTCGAGGTGGTTGTTTTAATCCTACCCTCCTTGACAGATGCCCTGGTAAATTACTATGCTGTTCAAGGGAAGGACCAGCCCCACAGAACAAGTAGATAAATCTGTCTGGCTGCACGCTTAACAACTGTCATGTTTCTAACTACAACAGATAAACTTATTAATAAGGGCAATTTTCAAGACACTCTCAATTACAATTTTAGTTCGACCCACTTTTAGAATGTTGCCAATTCTCCAATAATCTGAAGAAACAAGAGTGCTAACCTTACAAAGATATTTTCTACTGATGGATCTTGGACATGACCAGCGTCACTGTGCACACAATAAGCACAAAATAGCCGCCAGCCTTGTCTTCCACCCCAGCACCAAACCCTCCCCACTTTCCTTTACAAGAAGCCTCATGACTTCTGCAAAACAGAAACCCTTTTGCTGCTGCAAGGGCACAATTCTCCACCCTGGTCACATAGCTTCCGCACTAGCATAACACCTTTCCTTGATTGTATCAGCCAGCCCTTGGCACCCTAGATAAGCTCTCTCACCCCCACACCTGGTGCTGTCCTCCATCTTGGGGGCAGCCCTGGGCTGCCCTCCACTTTGAGTGCAGCACAGCAGATTCTTTTCCTTTAATAAAGCTTGATTGGTACCCGGCATCTCGGCTCACTTTCTTTCATTATGGTGCTGAAACCCGGGAAGGGTCCTGGCCGGACCGTCGGACGATCCCATCTCTTGGGCCTTGATTGGCCCGCGGCCACCCTTCACGGACCTGCTGAACCAGGAACCACCGGGACTCTCCTTTTGCCATTTCAGACCAACACATCCAACACTGGCCTCAATTCAGGGTGAGTCAGTGGGTCTGTCCTGCTTCTACGAGCTCCCCCAACTACTCTCTATGACAATGGTCTCTATGAAGCCCAGGTGCCTGGCTGAAGGAACTCTTCTTGTACCCCCCAGCTATAGGAGAACATTCCATTAGCCGGTTGGTAGCTTTTCGCTTGAAAAGAACATTCACACCAAAGAGGACGCTCCTTGGTGGCATTCTTCTTCTACCAGGACTGCCCATTTCCTTTCTCACCCTCTACATGGGATCCTCACAATCCAAACCTCCACACTCTATGCCCTTGGGCTGTCTCCTGGACAATTTACCCCCTGTCCTCCAAGGAGACATTAAACCTAAACGTCTCGTCTTCTACTGTAATCCACACTCTACGCCTCCGGGCTGTCTCCTAGACAATCTTTGGCCTCCACGCACACATTAAAACTCGAACGCCTCATTACAATGGATCCCAGTGGCCACAAGATGGCACTCTCAATTTAGATACTCACCAAAATAGCAAAAGCTGGAGAGATTTCTTATGTTCAAGCCTTTTTTGTCTCCAACTACAGTCCTGCTCTCTTTCAAAACTGTCCTATGTCTCAAATTCTCCTAGCTCATGCCTGACCATCCTTTCCAGACGCGGATCAACCTTCTGATCTGTCAGACTACTCTGATATCCATATGCGCCACCTCGACTATCTCCATACGCTCCAAATCCTTCACCAGCCCCTCCACCTTTTCCCTCTCTTCGCCCTCAGCCACCCAACCCCCCTCCTTCTCCCCCTTCATCAGGTGACAACCCCACCTCAGCTCCGGCTCCTTTATATTCCCTCCATGAAGTGGCAAGGACGAAAGGATTTGTCTGGGTACATATCCCCTTTTCTCTTTCCAATCTCTCCCAAATCAAAAAACGACTGGGATATTTCCAGTCCAACCTGGACACGTATCTTAAGGAATTCAGGTATCTCACCCAGTCTTACGATCTCACCTGGCGTGATATTTTTATGATTCTCACTACTACTGTGTCCCCCGAAGACAGGGAACAGGTCTGGATAGTGGCCCAACAACAGACAGACAAGGTACATGCCTAAAATAATAGTCGGCCTGCAGGAGCCATTGCCGTTCCTCACATGGACCCAAATTGAGACTACCAGGCTGGCCACAGGGATCAGGATCTCCAGGACAACATGATCACACACTTGATTTATGGCCTCCAAAAAGCTACTAATTCCTAACCCTCCTCTCAGAGGCTTTACATAAATACACATATATAGATTTCAACCCCCCTGCAGGCATGGCCCTCTTAAACTACCTCCTCAACACAGCTTCTAGGTTTTTAACAATAGAAAAAAAAAAAAAAAAGGGGGGGGGGGGGGGCGTTACAAAAGAGATCATGCCAAATACCGACTCCTGGCTAATATGACATCCAAGGCTCACACATTTCAAAGCCGGCTGCCTCAAGGGGCAAGCCACCCGGGAACTGCTTCAAATGTGGTCAACTGGGCCACTGGGCACAGGCCTGTTCTAACCCCAGGCCTCCTCCCAGACGCTGTCCTCACCGCAAAGAGCCAGATCACTGAGGGGATTGACTGTTCCACTTGCCAGAGAGGGAGTGGTCCTGTCCCCAACCCACAGCATTTGGCTTCATGGCCATCCCTACTGGAGCTTCTTGGATTTGCGCAGGAGGGACTGACGATGCCCAGGGCCCGAGACCCCCATGGAGATCACCATGCATGAGCCCAGGGTAACTCACCTCGTAGCAGGTAAGCCAATCTCTTTCGTCACAATACAAGGGCTACTTACTCTACCCTTCCCAAATATGCAGGACCAACAACCCTGTCCTCTATCACAATAGTAGTGGTCACAGGATCAGAATACCACCCATGGATCACTCAACCACTTTCTTGTACCCTACATCACACCCAATTCACACCCAAATTTTTAATAATGCCTCAATGCCCAACCCCCTTACTGGCACGGGACACTCTTTTCAAATTCAAAGCTACTCTTACCATAAATGCTTTGACTCCAGCTACAATACTCCTGTTACAGGCCACCCCCAGACCTGGCCCCCTGAGGTCCTTCTACCTTCCCCTCCCCCTCGGACAAGGTTATCCGGTAGTATGGGACACTTCTTCTCCCTTCATTTCTACGCACCATTCCCCTATCCTTGTTAAGTTATGGAACCCCTCTTTGTTCCCTAATGTCCCACAATACCCCATCACTAACAAACACCTAATAGGCTTAAAACCCATCATACACAAACCCCTTTCTTCTCATCTCTTACAGTCTATCCACTTGCCTTTTAATACACCCATCCTTCCAGTTATAAAGCCTAACTCATACTGTTTAGTACAGGATTAATCCTGGCCTGCACTGTTCCCAACAACTTACTTGGACAGTTTTGCCCCAGGGACTTCATGATAGCCCCCACTTCTTCAGCCAGGCCTTAGCTCAAAACTTATCTAAACTTCCTCCAACCTCTAGCACTTCAATACAACTCGTGGATGACCTTCTCCTTTGAAGTCCCTCCTATGAGGATTCACAGACCCACACTGTTGCTCTCCTTAATTTCCTCCTGGCCTCCGGGGGATATCTAGTGTTCCCCAGCAAGGCCCAAATTTCTTCTCCTTCAGTCACCCATTTGGGAGTCCACCTCACCCCCAACACCAGAGAAATAATGGTGGATTGCAAGAATCTAGTTTCTGAACTCCTACTCCTACCACGAAGGGTGAAATCCTTTATTTCCCAGGGCTTGCAGGATACCTCTGTGTGTGGAATGCTAGCAAAACCACTTTATGAGGCAGCCAAAGGGGATCCTGCCATTCCCTTAGATCCCACAAAGTCCATTCATTTTCCCTTCCAGCAATTAAAAGCCACTCTCCTTGCAGCCCCAGCTCTATCCCTCCCCCAAACCTATCTCATCCTTTTATCCTATACGTCACTGAAACCCAAGGATTGGCAGTCAGGATTTTGGGACAAGAGGCAGGAGATATTTTCTCCCTGGTTGCTTACCTCTTTAAACAACTAGACACCACAGCCCGGGGATGGGCCCCCTGTTTGCGGGCCTTGGCAGCAGCCGCCCTTTTAACACAAGAAAGGCCATAAGGCCAAGTCAATTCTATCCCCTTCTCACCTACAACTTATTCACCTTACTTCCACTGAAAATTCCCAGTTCTCCTTTAAACCTTTCCCCCCCTTACATCCAACCATTCTCATCCCAAAACACTCATGACTCTCAGAACACAATTGCGTGGAAGCTTTAGACCTCTTTCTCAATCCCTTTGCACACATCTCCCCGCATCCCATTACACAGCCCAAACACACATCATTCATAGACAGGAGCGCCACCTCCACGCCCGCCCCCTGGGCGGGTTATGCCATAGCAAATCTAACAGACCTCACCAAGCTCTCCATGGAACTTCACCTCCCTTTAGCAGTCACTTGCCTGCGAGCTGCCCCCCGCAAACTCACTGGCCCCAGCCCGTTTGAACCTATGTATGGTAGACCCTTCACTCTCACTCCTCTCCCTTCCAGCTCATCACCTTTAGGCCAGTATCTCCCTACTCTTTCGCTCATTAGGGATCTTCTTCGGGAACAGGCCAACCTTCTATTACCGCATCCTTTCCCCACCACCCCCCTCAGATTTTAAAACTGAGCCTGGGACAGCAAGTATATATTAAAACCCAAATCCCAAAGCCCCTCTTATCACACTGGGAAGGGCCTTATACAGTACTTCTCACCACCCCCACAGCAGTAAAGGTACTAGGAAAGGCCCCTTAGTATCACTTATCCTTGGCAAAACTATCACCTGAGACTTTACCCCAAAAGTCTGTTAACACCAAGCCAGAGGGGTCCCTCCGCTCAACCCCCAACCCAACATCTCCTCACACTTCATCATTTTAGGACCCACAAAGTTGAAAATCTCCAGGACCTCCGCTCTTCCCCCAATCCCAGAAGAAGGATGATCTTTCCCCACCGATTATCCTCTCACTCTTGCAGGCCCACTTCACATCTTTCGCACAAAAGCTACTCCAAGGCTGGTCCCAAACTGCTATCGTGGGACATGATAAGTATATGCCATCCCATGACCCTAACCTTTATTATACTATCTGTTCTAGTACTTGCTACAGGATTGGCCAGTGCTGCCCCAAAGGAGTGTAACATTATAGGAAGATTTCTCCTGGCACTCCTTTACCTCCTATCAGTAGGATGCTTCTTAGCAATTTCATTGTGGCAATGTCCCCTTCAAATTATTTTGGCTCCCTAACCCTTTGCATCCTTCCCCTGTTTTCCCTCCTATCTCAATGCTCCCCCTTACCTGGAACATGGAGGTTCCAGGTCTGCAGGGAGGATGCAGTCCTCAACGAATCAGACTGGTCCCCAAGTGAGTCATCTGTCTTCCACTTCACAAGAAACTTTTGGTGGTCACCCCCCTCCCTGTCAATGCAGCCTGCAACGTTTCCACAAACGTCTCTTCACTTTCCTCTAATCTCACCTCAGTGGGGACTGTCAGCGTTATGCGGGACCTGCCCACACTTTGCCTTACTAACATCAAATGCTACCACTCACTTACCCACTCCTCATCCATGCCCTAAAACTGGAATATATTTCCTTTTTAAAGCTACATTATCCTGTTGCCTGCCCCCTAACGCAACTTCTTGGTGATTTCTTGCATATTTGTTCAGCTCGTCCCTGACATCACCTCCAGACAGATGGAGGGATGGAGACGGGACTGGGACTGACTTTGCCCCCCCCCCTCAAGAAGTGCCCCCTGCTCCCACAGGGCAGTAATTGTACCTTTTAATTGGGGCAGGGATCCTTCCTGCAACTGGAACTAACATGGTGGACCTTGCTACTGCTTCTCAATTCTATCAAAAACTCTCAGAAGAACTAAGTATAGATAGCATCTCCCCCTCCAGCGACAGGTCACCTCACTTGTAACAGCTGCTTTACAGAACCATCGGGCCCTTGACCTCCTTACAGCC